CAAACCAAACCCAACCAAACCCAACCATACCCCAACCAAACCCAACCAAACCCAACCATACCCCAACCAAACCCAACCAAACCCAACCATACCCCAACCAAACCCAACCAAACCCAACCATACCCCAACCAAACCCAACCAAACCCAACCATACCCCAACCAAACCCAACCAAACCCAACCATACCCCAACCAAACCCAACCAAACCCAACCATACCCCAACCAAACCCAACCAAACCCAACCATACCCCAACCAAACCCAACCAAACCCAACCATACCCCAACCAAACCCAACCAAACCCAACCATACCCCAACCAAACCCAACCAAACCCAACCATACCCCAACCAAACCCAACCAAACCCAACCATACCCCAACCAAACCCAACCAAACCCAACCATACCCCAACCAAACCCAACCAAACCCAACCATACCCCAACCAAACCCAACCAAACCCAACCATACCCCAACCAAACCCAACCAAACCCAACCATACCCCAACCAAACCCAACCAAACCCAACCATACCCCAACCAAACCCAACCAAACCCAACCATACCCCAACCAAACCCAACCAAACCCAACCATACCCCAACCAAACCCAACCAAACCCAACCATACCCCAACCAAACCCAACCAAACCCAACCATACCCCAACCAAACCCAACCAAACCCAACCATACCCCAACCAAACCCAACCAAACCCAACCATACCCCAACCAAACCCAACCAAACCCAACCATACCCCAACCAAACCCAACCAAACCCAACCATACCCCAACCAAACCCAACCAAACCCAACCATACCCCAACCAAACCCAACCAAACCCAACCATACCCCAACCAAACCCAACCAAACCCAACCATACCCCAACCAAACCCAACCAAACCCAACCATCACCCGACATTGGCATCTCCTCAACCTCCTCCAAAGCCAACCCTGAGGTGGCTCCATGCCCAGAAATCGTGGATTTTTCCCCCAAAATCACCTTTGACGATGACCTGGACGGCGTCGCTGGGGTAGGACGTGATCCACCGGCCCTCGGTCATCTCCTCGTAGCGGCAGCTGAAGTTCCCCGTCTGGTTCTGGCCGCTCCTCTCCACCCTCAGCCGGACACCAGAACCTCCAGAACCTTCCCAGATCCCACCGGTGACCTCCAGGTCCTCCTGGAAGATCCCAAATCTCCGCTCGGCATCGCCGGGCGGGGCCTGGCAGGAGAAGACCAGGGGCTGCCCTTCCACGGTGATGCTGGAGGGCGTCACCGTCAACTTGGGTTGGGTTGGACGATCTGGTGGGAGGAGAAGACACGAAGTCGACGTTGGATCTCAACGGGGAGGAGTTTGGGGAGAAAAATGGTCAAATTGGACCAAAACTCAACGTTTTGGTGGATGGGGATGGATTTTGGACGGAAAGAATTCTCCAAGTGGGTGGAAAAGTCAATTTTGGATCTCATCAGGGATGGATTTGGGGACAAAAACGTCCCAAATCAGCCCAAGCCTCAATGTTTTGGTCAACTGGGATGAATTTTGGGATAAAAATGCCCCAAGTTGGTGGAAAAGTCAACGTTGGAGCTCAGCAGGGATGAATTTGGGATTAAAAAATCCCAGATGGGTGAAGAAGTCAATGTTGGACCTCAATGAGGATGAATTTTGGGATAAAAATGCCCAATTTGACCAAAACCCAACATTTTGGTCAACTGGGATGAATTTTGGGATAAAAAACCAATAGATGGAAACAAATCCCAACATTTTGGTCAATTTGAGATAAATTTTGGGATCAAAAGTCCCAAATCCCAAAATTTTGGTCAACTTGAGATAAAATTTGGGATCAAACCACCCCAAATCCCCAAATTTTGGCCAATTTGAGATAAATTTTGGGATCAAAAGTCCCAAATCCCAACATTTTGGTCAACTTGAGATAAAATTTGGGATCAAACCACCCCAAATCCCAAAATTTTGGTCAATTTGAGATAAAATTTGGGATCAAAACGCCCCAAGTCCCAAAATTTTGGCCAATTTGAGACAAAATTTGGGATCAAAAGACCCCAAATCCCAAAATTTTGGTCAATTTGAGATAAATTTTGGGATAAAAATGCCCAAATTGGGTACAAAATCCAAAATTTTGTCCAATTTGAGATAAATTTTGGGATCAAAATGCCCCAAATCCCAAAATTTTGGCCAATTTGAGATAAATTTTGGGATCAAAATGCCCCAAATCCCAAAATTTTGGTCAATTTGAGACAAATTTTGGGATAAAAATGCCCAAATTGGGTACAAAATCCAAAATTTTGTCCAATTTGAGATAAATTTTGGGATCAAACCACCCCAAATCCCCAAATTTTGGCCAATTTGAGATAAATTTTGGGATCAAAAGTCCCAAATCCCAACATTTTGGTCAATTTGAGACAAAATTTTGGATCAAACCACCCCAAATCCCAAAATTTTGGCCAATTTGAGATAAATTTTGGGATCAAACCACCCCAAATCCCAAAATTTTGGTCAATTTGAGATAAATTTTGGGATAAAAATGCCCAAATTGGGTACAAAATCCAAAATTTTGTCCAATTTGAGATAAATTTTGGGATCAAAAAGTCCCAAATCCCAAAATTTTGTCCAATTTGAGACAAAATTTGGGATAACATTCCCCAAATCCCAAAATTTTGGGCAATTTGAGACAAATTTTGGGATAAAAATGCCGAAATTGGACACAAATTCCAACATTTTGGTCAATTTGAGACAAAATTTGGGATAAAACCCCGCAAATCCCAAAATTTTGGCCAATTTGAGATAAATTTTGGGATCAAAACCACCCCAAATCCCAAAATTTTGACCAACAGGGACAAATTTTTGGATCAAACCACCCCAAATCCCAAAATTTTGGTCAATTTGAGACAAAATTTGGGATCAAACCACCCCAAATGCCCAAATTTTGGTCAATTTGAGACAAAATTTTGGGATCAAACGTCCCAAATCCCAAATTTTTGGTCAATTTGAGACAAAATTTTGGATCAAACCACCCCAAATCCCCAAATTTTGGCCAACTTGAGATAAAATTCCCCAAAACTCCAACCGCGGACGTTGATGACCACGGCCCGGCTGGCCGGCGAGTGGACGTTGCCGCGTCCCGGCCGGAGAACGGTGTAGGAGCAGGTGTGGAATCCTCCATCCCTGGTCCCGGTGACGTTGAAGGTGTGGCTGAAGCTCCTCCTGGAGCTCCTGACGTCCGTCACCCACCCGGACGTCGCCGAGAAACGGAACCCTCGGACGCGGTCACCCGGCGCCGGCGCGGCGCAGGTGATGGACACGGTGTCGCCGATGAGGAACTCGGGCTTGGGGGGCGTCACCGAGATGTTGGGGGCGGGGGGAAGGAGATCTGGGTCTAAAAAGGGTGAAAACGGCCCAAAATTGCGTTTTTTGGAGGTGGGAATAGAGAAGATGGTGGAGAACATCTCAGTTTTGCCCAAAAATCCCGATTTTTTGGGGTGTTTTTCCCATAATCCCAATTTTTTTTTTAGGTTGGACATGGATTAGGGCAAAAAAACCCAAAAAATGACCCAAAAATTCCATGTTTGGAGTGGTTGGAGGAGGTGGGAATGGAGAAGATGGAGAAGATGGTGAAGAACATCCCAGTTTTTCCCAAAAATCCCATTTTTTTTGTGTGTCTGGAGAAGATTTGGAATCACCGAGATGTTTGGGGTGGTGGGAGGGAGATCTGGGTCCAAAAAGGGTGAAAACGGCCAAAAATTGCGTTTTTTGGAGGTGGGAATGGAGAAGATGGAGAGGAACCACCCAAAATTTCCTCAAAATCCCGATTTTTTTTAGGATTGGGGCAAAAAAACCCCAAAAATGACCCAAAAATTCCATGTTTGGAGTGGTTGGAGAAGGTGGAAATGGTGAAGACGGAGAAGATGGAGAGGAACCACCCAGTTTTTCCCAAAATCCCAATTTTTTTGAGTTTAGAGATGGTTTGGAATCTCCAAGATGATTGGGGTGGTGGGACGGAGATCTGGGGAGGAAAAATGGGTCCAAAAAGGGTGAAAACGGCCAAAAATTGCGGTTTTTTGGAGGTGGGAATGGACAAAATGGAGAAGAACCTCCCAAAATTTCCCAAAAATCCCAGTTTTTCTCATCTGGAGAAGGTTTGGAATCCCCCAGAAGGTCCTGGAGGTTCCACCAAGCCAGGGGAGATTTTGGGGTT